CCCCCGCGCCCGCGGGCGCCCCCCCCCCGCCTCCCGCCCCCCGCCGTTTTCTGACGAGACGGAGCCCTCAGGAGCTCGGGGAAGGGTTAGGAAGGCAGGCTGGGGCACGAAGGGCTGCGGTGACTCGTGGACGCTTAAGGGCCTTTCTCCTTTCTTACCCCTTTTGTAGCCTCTCTAATAGCGAGGAAAATCTTAACGCGTACTTGTTTACGGTAAACTCTAAAAATATAAGCCTCATCTAAAAATTATAGCATGTAGTAGAAGCCTTGGTCTTCTTTAGAGGTGTTTTGAATATTGCTTGACAATTTTTTTCTTTGCAGAAATAGTAGAATTTCAAAAAATAGTGGGTAGCTTAATTGAACTTGTCGATCAACTGGCAAAAGCTGCTGAGAGCGAGAAGATGAAGGTACTGTGCAATTAATCACTGGCTTGTTATGCACTCTGCTCTGTACTGTGCGTGAAAAACCAGGTGTCTGCCCTCCTCCTTTTACAGCATAAGCGATCTTTTTCTGTCAGTCCTGCGCAGGCATTTCTGCAGTAGTTAAGGTCTGTCTGTCTGCAATACGAAAGCATGGGGCTTTTTAATGGGTATTAACGTCTAGAAGACTTTTATAGGCACGCTTAGAGTGTCCCGTTGCTCCTGCATTTAACAGTCCTACGGTTGCTGTGTGCCTATATATTTGCACACAAATAGCACATGTATTTTTTAATCACTCCTTCTACTAGTAGAGCTTTGTACTCAGGAGGCATGGGAGGCTCTGCGAGGAGGAGGAGGAGGAGGAGGAGGAGGGCTTTCTAGAGACCAGATCAGTGAATAGCTCTATAAATACTGTTGAAATTTTCTTGATGTATGTGACCCCAAGCGGTGTGGGTTCTTTATGTGTTACTGTGGAAATAGAAATGAATGTTTAGCACAGTTGTAGGTAATTGCTTTTTTCCTTATTTGTTCTGGGGACAAAATTATACCCAGAGCTTGTCTACCTGTAGCACCAGTCAGCAGCGACCAGTTTGTGTTTCCAGAGGAATCAGTGACGTTCGGTCCTGGAGTTTGAGGGAAGTCTCAAATGCCTTTTAACCTGCCCAACCTCTACAGGGACTCTGCCTGTTCCACCAGCCATTCAGTATTCAGCTGTCACCCGCCTTTATCGTTAGCATGGCTGAAACACTTCAAAATCAACCTGCTAGTAGTGAAAGGGGCTAAAAAAAAATAAAAAACCCAATACAACTACATCAGTGACCATCCTGTTTTGACAGGCCATTGGTGCACGAAATTTGCTGAAGTCTATAGCGAAGCAAAGAGAAGCTCAGGAACAGCAACTTCAGGCTTTAATAGCTGAAAAAAAGATGCAGCTGGAAAGGTAAGTTTTCTATGAAACACTTTTGGGGCATTATGGAGGCTGGGAAGTCGATCTGGCCCGCGGTGCTTGGCTGCAGGACGCCGCCTAAGCTCGTTCGAACGGTCCGTCTGCAGCAGAACCGCGCGGAGCCGCAAGCCCGGAGTTAACTTAAGGCCCTGTCTGCCGCTCGTCAAGACGGCTCATCTGTGACGGCTTTGTGGCTAAATGAACAGAGGGCGCGCGAGATCGTGCAGTCAAAGAATGAATAAATGTAATTCAGCGGCACGTGTCTGACTTGTAAACGCGCTTCAGAACTGCAGAGTCCACCTCGTCCAGCCGCTGCTTTGCAGATGACTTGCCCACGTAGCCTAACTTCCCTTCACCACAGACCGGTGAACGTTGTACTAAACCATCGAACGCGGGCGGGATGCAGCTGGTAACCATTTGTTTTTTTCTTTCAGATACCGAATAGAGTATGAGACTCTGTGTAAAATTGAAGCAGACCAGAACGAATTCATTGACCAATTCATTTTTCAGAAATAGAGGACTTTAAGATAAAAAAGAAACTAACTTGGAAGCTTGACCATTCCAGAATCTTGAGAATTTAAAAAATATGCAATTTTTCACTGTGTATGAATGAAGAGGTGGTTTGTACAAATGGAAGTGTCTTTTAATTCGGTGTGAATTACACTAGAAGTGGCAATAAGGAGGGCTTTCTAACAGGTGTAAAGACTGTTCTGTCCTTTGATTTTATAAAGTTTTGTACAGTCAGTAGTTCCAATTCAAATTATAGTTGAATTAATACTACTGTTGCTACGTTATGTCTCTCACTTTTTGAAGTGTACAGCTCTTTCAAAGAAATCAGGAAATAAATTATTGTTTTCAGACTTTCTGGATATACCAGAATGAGTTGCTTCTGCTATGTTACTTTTGAGCTTAAGAGTTTACAACTCCCTGGCTAGTCATAATGGTTTTCCTATATGTAGTAGTTTTCATATCTGTAAAGACACAACGCGTAATCAGCAGTAAGTTTTATCTGTATTGACCAGATTATTTCTTCTATAGAATTAGGAAAAAAACCCAGAAACTTATGATTAACAGAACGGACCAATTACAGACAGACAAAAAAAGCAGAGAACACGGCAGACTTAAGAACTTTACGCCACGCCTGAGGTACGTCCATACAGGTAGCAATATTACAGTACAATTATTTCATGGGCGTTATTAGTGATAGAACTGTGAGAAACCATTCTAAGCATACAGCGACACCAGGACTAGACGTAAACTATAAATGCAAATGGGACGTATAAAAACTGAAAGCCTGGGATCTAACATCAAGCCTCATAGATGCATTTTATGTCTGTCTTCAGGCAACCAAATACAGAACTGTTGGCCTTTTCAAAGCCTGTGGAGGGTTTAAATTTTATACCAGTTAAGTTCTGAAATATATAGGCAGTGAGTGAAAAGCCGTCTCGGTGACTTGTAATTTTACATAAGTCTCCCAAGTTTGATTCTTGCAGAGCAGCTTGAGAACTTAAAAAACAAACAAAACAAAAAAAAAAAGAAAAAACAACCTAAAAAACCCCAACCCAACCCCCACCAGCCCAGAATTTCTACCAGGAGTAGGTTTTATTTACTGGAACTTATCCCTCTATTTGCTGTGTGAACTATCTACGATCTCATGGTCATTTTAAGTTCCTTTTAGTCATTCCCTTAAGAAGATTAAATGCAGTTTAATGCGTTTAGTTATTTATTTCCATACCAGAAGTGATTTCGTGGAAGAGAAATTTACAAATCCTCGTTTACAATTCCCGAAGCACTTCAAAAGCCTCTAGGAAGTATGCCGCATCGTCAAAGTTCACTTTAAGCATTCAGAAATCCACATTTTGGCACATTTATCACCTATAAGACATTTACAATTAATCAAAAGTGAAGCAGAGCAAAGGAAGGCGAAATTTTAAAGGAAGGGGCGATGAAGTTAAGAATTATTCTATGATTTGAAATGCTTTGAGAGCACAGCTTTGCAAATCTGTATATAATCAGTTACGGATTGTGCAGAATACCCTCCTGGAAGACAAATTCCTTATTTAAGTGGTTTTCTAACAGTCATCTTGGGAAAAGGGAACTTGAAAGAAAAGTATCAGCTGTAGTTCTGCCCCGTCCCACAGTTCCACATCGAGCGGTTGTCGATCGTCCTACGACAGACGCACCGCGCCAAACCGCCGGGGGGAGAGGAGCGCGGTCCCTTCACCCGCGCGTGCCCAGAAACCCCGTTGGAATTGCTGGGACAGGCGCCTGCCGCAGCCATTTCTGATTAAAGGAGAGCTGTAAACTCAAACCAGGTCACGCTTGTCTTGCAGGAGCCAGGTGCTCTGGTAAGAGCTGTTGCAGCCAACAACACGAGACAGATGTTTGTCCCAGAAGACGACGTCGGCGCAGGGTCTGAATCAAAGCCAGTACGAGTGTTGGGCTTAGGACGGTTACAGGCGACTACTTCCTTTTCCTTTTCTCCGCGTGGTTGTAGTGAGGGTTGTAGAGCATGGTGAACAGAATCAGAAGCGGTATCAGCAATATACACAGACAGCAGAATTAGGCGCTCGCGTTGCGTCTGAGGTCCCAAATGCTCGGACTTGGAGAAATCGTGGAACAGTACATGCGCGAGGATGGCAAACAACGTTGTGGCTACGTGGGTGGAGTAGATAATTGCAGGAGTCCTTATCCATTTGCAGCCACCTGTATAGAAGCAAAAAGGAAACGATACTTAAGAATTTTGAAACAAGCAGAATTCAGCGGATTTTAAATTAATGGAAGGTTAACTGCTGTGTCTGACAGGATGAGCCAGAAGCCATATTACGTAGGTAGTAGAAAAAAACAGGTACTAGGAGCAACCCAGGGAAATTATCGACCTTTATGGAACTGTGGAACGATGGTACGATCGTGACAGTTTTGAAGTAACAAAACAAGTCCAGAGGCTTGGCCCAGAACTTCGGCAGCCTGCCAGATGTCAAATGCTGATGCTAGTTACGTGTAAATGGCCACAGTGGGAAAGGGCCTACAGTCACGGGGTTTGGCTCTGCCAGGCCCGATTCGGTGCTGCTTTCTCGGAGAAAAGTTGCCAAGAAAACAGCACAGCACTCCACCCCCCCGGTACATCCCTACTGTTGCTTAATACTGACAAATAAAACCTCTGCTGTACAGAGAGCAAGCGTTACGCAGAAATGCCGCACAGGACATGTTCTTACCCGTGTTTCATACCCACCTTTTAAGAAGGCGTATGCTGCGATGGGGAAGAAAGGCGTTTGTAAGAAGGCTTCGCAATATATAAACGCCTTAAACCACTCCGGGGGCTGGAGCATCATGGGGTCTCTGAAGGTGGCCGCATACCACTCTAACCACCCTGTCAGCTTCAGAGGAAGAACGAAACAACAGATGAGTACACCGAGCGTCAACGCAACGGGGGAAATGGCAACCCTCATCTGGCGGGCAGATGAGGCCGTCATTGCAGTGGGAAAATCAGGCGATCTCATCGTGGTACACAGGCCTTCATGCTGCAATTCGGTTCTAACTGGGACGACATTTCTGAAGTCTTTAAAGTGATGAACCATTGCCATTACGCATATATTAACTTTGCACTACAGGCAATTTTAGGACTATTACAGAATTAAGTGCAGCTTTCCAAAAACCATTTCTGAAATGTCATTTCTTACCAGAAAAAACGCAAACGACAAAAGATCTGCACCTCGGCCTTAGTGGGCATTGAAGAACTCTTGTATTTCCCCCTTTCTGACCCTCCTATTGCCAGCGGAGGTGGGCTCGGTCTTGCGAACGCCTTTAGGTGCTTGCCCTGTCTGAGCAGGAGGTGCGACCCCGGCCAGGAGGAGTCTGGGGCCTCCTCCGTCAGGGAGCGCAGCGTTAGATCCCGCGGCTCGCGGCTGCCTGCTGCTGCGCGAGGTAAGGATTTTGGCTTAGCGAGTTGCAATTAGTTTCCATGACAGAAATGTAAACTCCAGCGTGGCTTTAGGGTGGACTTTGAACGGAGAGATAGGTATTGAGATTTGGTAGTTAACTATTAATTAAAAACGGTTTCTGTAATGAAGTAATTCTGCAGGCGCTTCTAATGGCAAAATCAAATTCACTAATTGTGAAGCTCGGATAGGAAGTTACGGCTGATCTCATCCTGTTGATGAGAGTTGAATTGATTGTCCTCTACCCAACTATTATTTAATTGACTTTATTATGTTTATTGTCTTCTATAAGCTTATTCAAAACCCAGCACACCAGAGATTTTTACTACTAAGTTTGCTTGCTAGCGCGCTGCTTCTGCGGTAACAATTCGCTTTGACGTTTTTGGCAGGAATATGAGCAAAAATGGGGATCGGAGAGCGACCGAGGCGGTGAGAGCCCAGGGCGCCGGCGCGGGACCTGACGGGAGGGCAGCGGGTTCGTTCCTACGCAAAGGGCTTCTGCTGGGCCGCTTTGCCTTCCTCGGCCCGCAAAGCGCGCGCCGCGCCGCGCCGGAGGAACCACCGTCCGCTCCCTCCGGTCACCGGGACTTGGCTTGTGCGCCCCGACGCGGGCGTTGGAACGGGGAGGAGCAGCCCGCGTACATCGGCGTTACAAATTTTAAAAAAATCAGTCACAGCTGCTGAAGGTGCTGATGAACGACGGCATTTACCGTCCTCCCCAAATGAGTGACTCGACTGAAAATACAGCGCATCACGTAGGTAGCAAGTACTGAGTTATTTTTAAGCACTATTTCATTTTAGGAAATTCACCGCATTTTTTTCTCCCCCGTTACGTCTCTACATACTAGATTTTGTAAAACAAAAAAAAAAAAAAAAAAAAACC